GTTGAGACCGCAAGCAGGCGCAGCGAGTTCAATCAGGCACTCGGAGAGTAGAGCTCCACGACATGGTGCCACGTGGGCGCTCCAGTTCAGGCTCCCACAGAAGTTCTTTTGGGTTCGGGGTCCATCCGGAGGAAGCCGACATCTGCACCGTGCCCGCACTAGTCCGACTTGGGCTCGGGACGAGAGCCCCCCTCCCCCCCGACGGGCTTCGGCCGCATCACCAAAACGGACGGGATAGTTCGAGCGGGGAGTCTGCGACGGGCCGCTCGGCATTCCTCGGAGGACAGCGCTCGGAGTGCGCCCGTGGCCAGCCAGCGCAGCTTCCTGCTCCTCTGCCGCCGACGCGGCGAATCGGAGCCGATCCTCGGCACGGGGATCCCCGGAGGAGGGCACCTCGGCGCCTCGGGGGGGGGGGGGGGGGGGGCAGCGGCCTCCGAGCGCCGAGCTCGTCCGAAGCTGCGCGGGCGAGGGGCCCTGCCGCCGCCCGGGGGGCCGAAGCCACGGCACCGAGCCGCAGCAGGGCTGCCCGTGGCCGCCAGGGCCTGCACGAGGGCCCAGGGCCGAGCGGAGCGGACACCGACCCAGATCCAGACGCTGCTCCGACTCCCCGAGAGGGCCCGAAGAGGATGCCCAAGAGGATGCCCAAGAGGACACCCAAGGGGCCCCCCTGAGGCAGAGGCCACACACGCTCCTGAGGACTTGGGCTGATTTCTGATCGCCTTCCTCCGTAGACTTGGATTGCGTCTGGAGGTCTGCCGAAGCCTCTGGGATTTGTTGGCTGCCTCGGGGGTTTCCCGAGGACCTCGGGAAACGTCAGAGACCTCCCGCCTCCCTCGGAGGAGAAGGGGGGAAGGAGGAGGAGGAGGAGGACCATTGTAAACCCAAGTGGTATCAACGATGTTGGAGTAAGCCCTCCCTCCAAGCTCCCTCTACGTAGGCCCCTACAAGATTTCATTTCCACTGAGGGACTTGCCTCGTTGAGCGACAACCGTTTGAAGACCCCGAAGCATGCCACATCATTATTCTCGGGACTCCAACGCCACGGATCAACCTGACTGGTGCGTCTTGTCGATCCTGAATCGTGCCAGAACGCCATTCCTGGGATCGCAACACCGCGAATCAAAGTATCTGTTACACCCTCATGATCTGGAATAGTTCCAGAACTTCCTGGTGCGTTGACCATTGGAATCCGTGAAACCCTTATAATTTGTAAAAATCTATGTGCGCGGCGCTAAGGCGAGAGCCACATGTTGAAAAGGAGCCGCCCTCAATCTGTGAAACTCTTACACACTGTCAGACATCCGATCTTGAATGCTTAACCCCCTGTCAGGGAAACCTAATCTAAGTCTGAAGCACCTCTTGGAAACCATGTGCCAAGTCGGTGGCCCCCTTTTCAAAGCCCTAGCATAACTCCTTTGCCTCCTGTCAAACAATCCCATGGCAAGTCCTGGGGCACCCTTCGTAAACCTCCTCCCAAGCCCGTTGTTTCTTCATGCCAGCTATATCCTATGTCCTCGAGCTCCTGTCTCAAGCACCGCTCCTACGTCTTCGGGCCGCTTCAGACACTCACATGCTAAGTCATGAGGCTCTCCTGGCAACTCTATCCCAAGCCTGTGGGTCTCTCAATGCAATCCTAGCCTGTGTCCTCGGGCCCGTGTTGGAATGTTTATCAGAAGACCATGGGGTCCTGTCAAAAATCTTCTTGTCCTCGGCTCCTCTCTGGACCAGAGGCTTCTCTAGGAGCTGTTCAGACACCCTGCAACACTTCCTGGGGCTCCTCTCGGAAACCCTAGTGTAAGGCTTGCGGCTCTTCTCGGAATCCCTATTGCAAGCCAGTGGGCTCTTCGTGGGGGGGCTATCAGACGTCCTCGGGCTCTTATCGAAAACTCACGCCTGCGACATTCGCCCCTATCCCAAGTTCCAAGTCCCTATGCCATCTTCTTATCTCGGAAACCCTGTCCCAAGTCCCTGCGCCCCTCTAGGCGCTCCTGTCTTGTAAGACCCAGAGCTCTCCAGGAAACTCTGGCCGAGCCCTTGGGCTCATCTAGGACATCCTATGCTGCCGCCTTGGGATCGTGCCGGAAACCGTATACATACTAAATTCTTGGGTTCCTCCCAGGTATTCATATCCCAAGCCTCTGGGTTCCCCTGGAAAACCCAATCCTTGTCCCCGTGCTTCTGTCGAAGACTATTTTAAACATTACACCAGAGAGAAACCCCAATGAGTGGATGATTTCGCTGAGGAGATCGACCGGGAACCTGGGAGCCCCGGAACCCAGAACCCACCGAAATCGGCCTGGAACCAATAACCGGGAACCCGCGGGAACCCGGAACCCGGAAACCCGGAACCCGGAAACCCGGAACCGGGAACCCGGGAACCCAGCTTGCTACCAAAATCGGCGGGAAACTCTCGCCAAACTTTTCCGCTATCTATAGGACCTTTTTCAGTGCAAGCACCGATTGGGGAACTAAATCCTTGGGTTCCTCCCAGGTGTCCATATCCGAGGTCTCTGGGCTTCCCTGGAAAACCCAATCCTCGTCCCGGTGCTCCTATCGAAGACTGTTTTAAACATATTATCATACCCGGGGCCCCCCACGTGAAAGTCCTGTCCCCTGTCCATGCCTGACCGCGGGTGCCCCAAAGAAGCTGCACGCGCCCATCCCCCAGATTTTCTCACATCGCTCGGGAAATTGACGCGATGCAGGAGGATCGCGCTGGCCAAATGGTAGTACTGATGATGGTGATGGTGATGGTGATGGTGATGGTGATGGTGATGGTGATGGTGATGGTGATGATGATGATGATGATGATGATGATGATGATGATGATGATGAGGAGGAGGAGGAGGAGGAGGAGGAGGAGGAGGATGATGATGATGAGAAGGAGGAGGAGGATGAGGAGGAGGACGAGGAGGAGAACTGTGCACATGCGAGGGCGGGAGCGCGGGGAGGAGAACGAGCCGCCGTTGCCATGCGAGGGCGGGTGCGCGGGGAGGAGAACGAGCCGTCGTTGCCACAGAGGCGCTTCACGGTGTACTGCCGCGGTCGAGCGGGGTCGCCTGCCTCTCTTCCTGCCGCCTCGTGTGCCTCCTGCCTCCGCGCGCGTGCCCCTGCCGCTTTCCGCTGCTGCTAAGGTTCTCCACGGAGGGCAGCCAATGCGGGTCGGGTAGGGGCAGAGTTGCCAGGGCAGTTTGGCGTCTGCCTCTCGCATCCTGGTCTGCCGCCTGAGTCCGCGCGCGTTCGCGTGCCGCCGAGCAACGGCTGCCATGTTGCGCTGCTGGCCGTCGGCTCGCGGAGAGGGGGGGGCAGCCAGGACAGGTCGGGCCGGGGCTTCGGGGGCGTCGCGGGACGCAAGCTGCACTCCGACACGCACCGATCTTGGCCAGGCCAATCTCGGGCCCTTGGGCGCACGCACCGATCCCGGGCCCAGGGCTGGGTTCGGCCAGGATCGGTCAGCTGTGTAGACGGCGTCCTCCCCGGCGCCAGGGCAGGTATTGTAGAAGGTTGCACCCACGAAGGGGCAGGCGCCGGCTATGCTGGGCTGCGGTCAGGCCCAGGCCACGCCTGGGGGAGAGCACGCGGTGAGGGCAGTTGCCCTCCATCCCTTGTTCATCCCTCCGCGTGATCCTTCTGTCATCTTCGCCTCCCTCCTCGCTCATTACCTCTGGCCATCAGCGTCCTGTGCAAGTGGTGCGGTGATCATCACCAGCATCGTCATCGTCATCATTGTCGCCCTCGTCTTCACATCATCAGCATCATCGTCGCATGGCGTCATCATCGTCAGAATCGTCATCATCATCACAAGCATCACCGTCGTCGTCGTCAGCATCAGCATCAGCATCATCATCATCATCATCATCATCATCATCATCATCATCATCATCATCAGCATCATCATCATCGTAGCCATCATCATCATACTAACCCCGACCAGCAGCATTGAGTCCTGCTCCTCTCCTCCCCTCTCTCATCTCCTCCTCTCCTCACCTTTACTCCTTTCATATGCTCTCCTCTTCTCTTGTCGCCTTTCCTCCCCTTCTCTTCTGACGTCCTCCTCTGACAGTTCTGGCCTTTTAGTCGGCAGGGTCGTGGACGCAGTTATTGTCTTAGGGTTGCGAAGTTCCTGGTCTGGTTCCCAGCGGAAGCATTGCTGGGTGCGGAGATGAATGTACACCAGGTTGCGTCATCGGTCTCTCTGCATCCTCCGCGCACGCACCAGTCATTCATCATGCTTCCACTTCGGCTAAATCTCTGTGCTCGCAGCCTCTTGTCAACCCCAATGTTATACTCTGGACCTGTGTGTCGACATCCAGAGACACAGGGCACAGCGGTGCCACAGAAGCAAGGCAGCGTCACAGCTGAAACGGAAGCAGGTCCCACGGTGCCGCGCCCATGAAGAAACAAACCAGGTCCGGCGTCGCTCCATGGATGGATCTCGTGCCTCCTCTTTTTGTAAGGACAGAGGAGGCCCATGCCAAGAAACACCCTGCTCGCCTCCAGGGTGCCCTGGGTTTCTTGCGTTTCGATGGTCGTGCCATGGAGAGCGTGACGTTCCCACACCGGAAACTCCATGGACGTCCTGGTGTCCCAGGGTCGGGTCTCTTGTGGAAGGTTTTTTGTGGTCGGGCTCCCACTGCGTGTATCTCGTTTCCTTTTCCTCTGGCTCCCCTTGGGGCACCCGCAGAGGCGCGAAGCTGACCGCGCTTCGCGCGCGCCGCGGCCTGAGCGAGAACGCTGTCCGACTCCTGGGGGCGGTGCGGTGGCGTGAGGCTGGCTGCGCTTTCCGGCTCCCGCTCCTCGCGGCGAAGGTGGCCTGGCTTGACGAAGATCTCCTGCCAGCCGAGGCCCCCAGAGGCTCTCCAGAGGCCAAGAAGGGCCAGGAGAGTCCCGAGCCAAGCCTCCACCATCCTCGACCCTCGACGCTGCCTCGACCCTCCCCGATCCTCGACGCTGCCCGGCCCTCCCCACCGCCGCTCGCCTCCCTCCTCCGCGGCCTCTCGAGCTCGAGAGACGCGGGCTCCGTGGGAGGCGCCAGCGCAGGTGTAGCCGGGGGGCGCGACGGCGCAATGCCGCTTCGCCGCGCGGAGGAGTGCGGCGAGGCGCAGGCCTCGACCCACCGCCGGCGATGGGGAGGGGGGGTAGGATGGGGTCCGTTCGGGCTCTAGCGACCCGTGTCGGGCCCCAGAACCCAGAACCATCCGAAGTCGATCCAGGGTGACAAGTTCGCCAGTATGAGCCTGGGGCTTTGGTCCGTCAAGTGATTTTAGGGGGGAGCATGCCTATACCTGTGCCCTTGCCTCGTTTTCACCTTTTTGGACCTCCTGGGAAGGGGAACGAGGAGGGTGCTGGAGGAGAGGACGACGACCATTCGAGGAGGTTGTTCCCAGCGGAGCAGGGTGAAATTCCGTGCCCTCCGAGCGACTTAGTAACTGACTCACTGGCTGATTGACCATCCAGCTGACGTCAACGGACAGCTCGGGGAATGGATTTTGAGCCGCCCGCGACCTCAGGCGCCTGCAATCGCAAAGCGCGTTTCGGGCCGTGGGCAGCCGCAACCGCACCAGCAGCCGCAACCGAGCAGCACAATTGGGCCGCGGGTGCCCGCAGCCGCACCAGCAGCCACATCCGCAATCGCAGGTGGGCAGCACATTTTCGGCCGAGGGCGCCCGCAACCGCCAGTGCAGTGTCGCAGCGCAGCGTTGTCCTGCGGGCACGCGCGCCCGCAGCCGCACACGCACATAGTCGGAACCGCCCCGTGACAGCGCAGTTTGGGCCCCGGGCTGCTCGCGGCCGCAAGCGTATGCGCACCCGCGTGTGTCAGGAGCAACGATAGCCGTAAGTCGGGCATGCCCATCTACAGGAGGAGTATTCAGGAATAGTAAGCAAATCATATGGTGACGATTGTTCGTGCTCTTTTGGCTATGCGTGATGTTGTTTGGAAGTTCTTTTACTTTTCTTCTAAAGTCCGCCTGTAGGAGGACATGCCCGACTTAACGATAACGGGGTAGGTTCATATTTTCGAGCCTGCGGTTCGACTTCTGTTTTCGGGCGTTTTCGTCGGGCCTCGGCGATTTCCTGGCCCCGGCCAGCCCTGGGATGCCTTCCAGCAGCTGCGCCTCGGCGAGGGCGTTCTGGGGGATTCCCGAATTGTCCCGAGCGGCCGCCGGGGAGCCGAGTTATGGCCCAGGAGCCACGGGGCAACGCCAGGGGGGGTAGAGGCTCGTGGGGGGATGCATCGACCTTCCACCCCCCATGGATCGCTGCTAGGGGCCGGATGGCCACACACCGCCCGGGAACGTGCGGGCTCGCCACTGGGGGCCTATCGCCGGTCTATCGGCGATCCATCGCCGAGTCCAGGTCGACGTTTGCCCCCCTGAGCCACTCCCGCCCCCTCTCCTGACCCCTCCGTGCGCGACTGGGGAGCGTGCCCGCGGGCGTCCACACCCGCTCTGGCTCCTCCGAGGCTGGTCTTCCTGCCGGCGCGGACGCCCCCGCGCCCGGCCCCCCGCCCCCCCCCCGCGCTTCCCGAGGCCGAGGGGCCTTGGGGGCCTGGGCGCGCACGCGGGCGCACCCGCGGTATGGGCGCGAGCCCGCCGCCCCCCCGCCGAGCTGCCCCAGGGGCCCTCTGGGGTGGCGGCGCTCGCGGCGGGGCGGTGGCAGCCCCGGGGGGCAGTCCCGACGCGTTGATGTTCCAGCGGGTAGTCCCCCCTCCCCCCGTGCAGACCCGCTGCGGTAGTTTCGTGTCTTGTTTCGACGCGGCGGCGACCCCGCCGCGGGCGTTCAAGCTTGAGCGCCGCCAGTGGCACAGCACCGGTCAGCATGCAGCGATCTGGCGGGCGAAGAGTCGCAGATCGTTCCAGGTTCAACGATCCACGTGGTGTCAGAGCCCAGCGCCGAAGTCGTCACGACACGAACCTGCCGTATCCGTAGGTCCCTTTTGGAAACACAAGGGCCCCTGCTCAGAGGCCTCTCTAGAACACCACCTCGGAGCGGCTACACTATTGACAGCAACGTTCCGTTGTGTCTTCTGGGGTGTTGCAAGGTCTTTTTGTTTGCGGTTCTCGAATTCTGATTCTGTGCCGGAGTTTTGCTCTTCTGATAGGCATTGCGCTGGAAGCGGCCCCCGGGCGTGGTCTGCGGTGCTCCGCTGGCGGAAGACCTGGGCCATTCGGGGCTCAAGAGACGGGGGTCAATGCAAACGGGGGTCGGCCAGGGCTCCGGTTCTTGCAGGATCCTGCAGAGCCAGAGGTGCACTGACCCTGGTTTGCGTGCCTTTTCCTTCACGACCCTGCAGGACCCTGTAAAATTCTGCAGGACCTCACAAAGCCCGACTCACCCGGGTTTGGATTGACCCGGGTCAGTGCGTCCCCGAGCCACGCGGTTGCTGCTGCTGCGTGTGATCTGCTCTGGAGACGCCCGTCTCAGGCCCAAAGGGCCAGCCCCCAACACGGGTCCTGGGGGCGAAAGGGCGGCCACGAGGAGGAGAATAGGGGAACGACAAACGACATAATCAGCAACAATTTGAAGGTCCGCGCGGATTTCTCGGATCCGCGCTGGGCCCCCCTGGCGGCGCCTCCAGCGCCGCCCCTGGCGCGCGGAGCGCGCCAGGGAGGGGGGTCCAGCGCCGATCCGAGAAGTCCGCGCGGGTCTCAGGAGTTCTTAAGCTTATGTCATTCTCCGTTCTCCGAGAGAAGGCCTTCGCGGAAGGCGGCGGGACTTCTCCGAAGCTTTCGCGCCCTCTGGGAAGTGCCTTGCGTCGTCGGAGTAGGCTTAGAACACTTTTCAGAAGGCCAGAGGGCTTCTGGGCCTTCTGAGAAGGCCCGCCCCTTCTCACTGCCCCCCGGGCTCGCCGCCGATGGGAAGCCTTATGCCTGAACCGATGCCCGTCCCTCTTTTTCTCCCCGTGGGGCCCCTCGCCGCCGCGGCCAAAGTCGCCTCGGAGTCCTGGTCAGAACGCACCCCAGGGCAAATCTTCGGAGCAGCGGGAACCTGCGTTCCCCCAGATATCGGGAGGGAGGAAACACACTTAGAAGCGGTGGAGGAAGAGGCATGCGATCAGGACCAGGAGCAGGAGGAGAAGCGGTAGCAACAGCATCAGACGCATGGAGTGGGGAGCAGGACGAAGAGTAGGAGCTTCGAGGTTCCGATGGAGAGCCTACTGCCCAGGCGCCCGACGACCTGCTGAGCCTGGAGGACTTTGACGACAACAGCCTTCTGCACGCGCTGTGGGCGCGGTACGAGAGGAAGAAGATCTACACTTGGGCGGGCGGGGGCAAGACCTCCTGGGCGCCACGAAGAGACTGCGACCGTTTTTTGGGGGGCACGCTGGCTGCTTATTTGCGCCCAGGGGCCCACAGAAAACCATGCGCGGCGAAAGGCCAGCCAGTCACGGAGGTTGGGGTCGAGAGCTGCCGGGGGCACGTCGTGAACATGTCACACCATCGGAGTTCCACGAGAAGGAGATGAGCGTGCGAACAGCCACGGGACGAGTCATGTCGAAAACGGTTGCCGGCGGCCAATTGGTTCATCTTAAAACGTCCGGGGAATGTTTCGCATGTATTTGTTTGGCCTCTTGACAGGCTGAACACGCCAAAAACAACGCCTCGTTATTTCTCACCAGTCGGGTTGGGATCGTTAGATTTGAAGACTGGACCTCCCGACGGGTCCACCCTGCACATCGCTGCAGCCAGATCCCCAGGTCAATCGAGTGTCCCCCGAGTACCTCGCCACCCGCGCTTTTGACGAGCATGGCAGAGCTGAACAGAGCAGCGTATGACAGAACATAGCATGACAGAGCATGACATAACGTAACATGGCATAACATAGCATGACAGAACAGAGCATGATATAGCAGCAACGTGTGACAGACCGGAGCAGAACACGACAGAACATTTCAGACTTGTTCCCCACCCGACAGGCTGGGGTCGTTAGATTTGAAGAACGGACCTCCCTGTCGTATGCCCCCTGCATACCGCGGCGCCACATCCCCAGGTTCACCGAGTGTCCCCCGAGTATCCCGCCGCCCGCGACTTCGACGAGCATGACACAACTGAAAGGAACAGCGCATCACGAAACACAACATGACCGAGCATGACCGAGCATAACATGACAGAACAGAGCATGGCACAGGAATACACGACAGATGACAAACCAGAGCAGATCATTTCAGAACGCATCAGACTTGTGCCCCACCCGACGGGTCGGGGTCGTTAGAGTTGAAGAACAGCCCTTCCGACCGGCCCCCCCCATAGTCAGATCCCCAGGTGCACCGACTGTCCCCCGAGTGTCCCGCCACCCGCGCCTTCGACGAGCATGACAGTACTAAACAGCACGGTGCATAACAGAACATGGCATGACAGAGAATGGCCGAACATAACATTGCATAGTGATCGTTTTTTATGCATTGTTTTGCCGATCGGCGCGGGCCCCCACCCCCCCTCCTCCCCCCCACATAGTAGATCTTGGCTTTTTTGGGGAGCCATTTCGAGCGGGTGGAGGGAGTCTCCCCCAGAAGCCGCTATTTTGCAAACAGCCGCACCAAGCAGAGGTCTGGAGCCATACCCCCCCTTCCCCCCCTCCTTTGCCGCCCAATGCCGAAACGCCGAATGACAAAAAAACGCTCACATAACAGAGCAGGACACAGCGACACCTCTATCAGGAGGGGAAAAAAGTACAAAGACACAATGAATCGCCGATTCCCTCAAACGTGTGGGAAACTATGGGAAGTGGGGGGGGAAGACACAAACCCAGACAGTGTGGGAACATGCGGGGAGTCCTGCCATGTGTGTCTGTTCATTTGTGTGTCCCAGAGCCCTTTTTTTCCAAAACGCCGCGGAGGACGAGGAGGAGGAGGAAGAGGAGGAGGAGGAGGAGGAGGAGGAGGAGGAGGAGGAGGAGGAGGGAGGATGGAGGAGGATGGAGGATGGGGATGGAGGATGGAGGATGGAGGATGAGGAATGGGGAGGAGGATGGAGGAGGAGGAAGGAGGAGGAGGAGGAGGGAGGAGGAGGAGGAGGAGGAGGAGGAGGAGGAGGAGGAGGAGGAGGAGGAGGAGGAGGAGGAGGAGGAGGAGAGGGAGGAGCAGAGGAGGAGGAGAGGAGGAGAGGAGGAGGGAGAGGAGGAGGGAGGGAGGAGGAGGAGGGAGGGAGGGAGGGAGAGGAGGAGGGGAGGGAGGGAGGGAGGGAGGGAGGGAGGAGTGGAGGGAGGGAGAGGAGGGAGAGGAGAGGAGGGAGAGGAGGAGGAGGAGGAGGAGGAGGAGGAGGAGAGGAGGGAGGGGAGGAGGAGGGAGGAGGAGGAGGAGGAATGAGGAGGAGGAGGAGGAGGAGGAGGAGGAGAGGAGGAGGAGGAGGAGAGAGGAGGAGGAGGAGGAGGAAGGAGGAGGAGGAGGAGGAGGGAGGAGGCAGGATGCCTGGGCATCGTTTCTGGATGGGCTTGACACGGCAGCACACGAAGCATCAGCACATCAGACGGGATTCCACTTCGAGCACGGCAGCGCGGGCGGCGGCGGCCCCCCTGACGGGGCGGGTGCCCGACGCCCGAGCCCGACTTCGGGGGTCAGCTCGTACAGCTCGGCTACAGGGCGGGGGAGGGGGCAGTTGACGGGGCAGAGGTAGTGCAGCATTCGGAAGTTCTGAGGAGGAAAAGCAGGAGGAGGAGGAGGAAGAGGAGGAGGAAGAGGAGGAGGAGGAGGAGGAGGGAAAGAGGGAGGGAGGGAGGGAGGGAGGGAGGGAGAGGAGAGGAGGAGGAGGAGGAGGAGGAGAGGAGGGAGGAGGAGAAGCGGAGGAGGATTGGGGAAGGAAGAGGAGGTCGAGGAGGAGAAGGAGGATGAGGAGGGGAAGGTAGGAGGGAGGGAGGGAGGGAGGAGGAAGGATTAATGGGGGGAGGGAGGGAAGGGAGGAGGAGTAGGAGGAGGAGGAGGAGGAGGAGGAGGAGGAGGAGGAGGGCAGGCGCCGAAGGTTGCGGTGTGGATCGCTCGACGCAACAATGTCAGCACTTCCAGTTTTCCCCACAGAGATGAATATCAAACAGATCGCCGTGAGATCCCTGAGGCGAGCAACGGCGACGTACGACGGACGGACAGCGGTGCGCGCAGGCGGCTGGGGTGGCGAGCAGGCCGAAGGCAGCAACAGCCCCGGCGAAGGGCGCCGACGGCCCGCCCGCCCGGCGGCCGCAGGCATGAGGGGCGCACGCGTGCGCCCAGGCTTGCCTGCGCCCGGGCGCGGCCTGCTCGGACGTGGACGCAGGCCACCTCCCAAAGGGATGAGGCCCTCTCATTGCTGATCAGATCCGTCTGTTCCCACTGCCTAAGCTGGCGGCACGAGCCTGCCGTCGCGATGTTCTCGAAGCGCCGGGTGTCTGCCAAACAGGCTGGCAGCGGCTCGTATCCGAATTTGCAGTTGCAGTCCCATGCTGAGAGATGTCAGAAGGGCTTCTCGCCGTCGTCGAAAAGCCTCGGTCAGTGTGGAGGCTTCGTTGAGGCTACCGTGTCCGGGAGTCAGCATCCATCAGACGCGGGTCCCTTGAGATCTTTCGGGTGTCCCGGCTCGCCCGGCTGATCTTCACGGCGCACGCGCACGCAGCCGTCGGCGTGCGCAAATGGAGGCGAGGGCCCTCGTCGCTTGGCCAAATGCGGACACCGACTTTGCGAGCAAGGACGGCGCACTGGCGGCAGGGTGCACCTGAGACAGAGCTCCTGTTGCAAGGATTCTCGGGGGGTGCGAGGGGGGGGCGCTGACTGCGGTGGTGGATCTCCCAGACATTGATTTTCTCTGCGAGCGCAGGCGCAGTGTCCTGCTGAATAGGAAAACGGCCGGCCAGCCGCTGTTACATTCCTGCTTTAAAGATTCTTAGGCTTACGCCACACCGCCGACCCCTTGTTTATGCCAATCTGGGGGTAGTAGAAGCTGCGAAGGGGTGAAAAGGCGAGTGATATTTGTTTGGTGTCTGTTCGCCGCCACCGCCAGAGGGTCTCGGGCAGTTCCGCGGGGAGGTCCGAGCGGACAGCGACACTGCGAGTTTTGGAGCCACTCGGGGGCCGTTTCGGAGCCTCTGGGGTGCTTCTTGGGGGTTCCTTGGGGCGTCTGGGCGGCCTCGTGAGGGCCTCTGGGGGCCTCTTGGGGCACTCTTGGGGCCCCCTGGGGCTCCTGGGGGCAGAAAGCTAGAGTTTCAACATGTTTGGTCGCCCTCTTGGGCCCCTCGTGGTGCCGTCTTGGAGCCCTCTTGGGCCGTCTTGGGGACCTCTTGGGCCGTGTTGGGGCCGTCTTGGGCCGTCTGGAGGCCGTCTTGGGGGCCTCTTGGGCCATCTTGGGGCTGTCTTTGGGGCCTCTTTGGCCGTCTTGGAGCGTCGGGAAGCCGAAAAGGCGGAAAAGCAAAACACATCGAAAAACACCATGGAAAATCAACAATTTTAGACTCTTGGGGCCCTCTTGGGAGGCTTGTTTGGGACCTCGGGGGCCGTCTTGGAGACCTCTTGGCCCGTCTTGGGGCCATCTTGGGCGTCTTGGAGGGGTCGTTTGGCGTCTCGGAGCCTTCGTGGGCCGTCTTGGAGGCCTTTTGGGGGCTTCTTGGCCCGTCTTGAGGCCCTCTTGGGCCCGGAAAAGCCCTGGAACCGCTCGTCCCGGCCGTGCTGCGCTCGTCCTGGCCCCCTCCCCGCCTCCAAATCGGCCCTCTTGGGCCGTCTTGAGGACCTCTTGGGCCGTCTTGGGGCCGTCCTGGGCCGTCTGGAGGCCGTCTTGGGGGCCTCTTGGGCCATCTTGGGGCTATCTTTGGGGCCTCGTCGCGCGTCTTGGAGCGTTGGGAAGCCGGAAAGGCGGAAAAGCAAAAAACGTCGAAGAACACTATGGAAAATCAACAATTTTAGACTCTTGGGGCCTTCTTGGGAGACTTGTATGGGACCTCGGGGGCCGCCTTGGAGACCTCTTGGCCCGTCTTGGGGCCATCTTGGGCGTCTTGGAGACGTCGTTTGGCGTCTACGGGCTTTTTTTGGGCTTGTTGGGGGCCTCTTGGGGGCTTCTTGGAGCCTCTTGGAGGCCTCTTGGGGCCTCCTTGGCGCCTTTTGGGGCGGAAGGCTAGAATTTTAGGTTCGTGGTCCCCGTCTGGAGCCTTTCTTGGGCCCCTCTGTGGGCCCTCTTGGACTGTCTGAAGGCCCTCTTGAGCCGTTTTGAGGCGCTCTTGGGCCGTGTTGGGGCCCACTTGGGAGCCTCTCGGGTCGTCTTGATGCCGTCTTGGGGGCTTCTTTCGCCGTCTTGGAGCGTCGGAAGCCCGAAAAAACGCGAAGGCCAAAAACGTTGAAAAAACCAATGGAAATCGACGATTTTGGCCTCTTGGGGCCATCTTGGGAGGCGTCTTGGAAGCTTCTTGGGGCGTCTTGGAGGCATCTGGGGCCATCTGGAGGCCATCTTGACCGTCTTCGAGTGTTTTTTCGGCGACTCGGGGCCCTCTTGGACCGTCTGCAGAGCTTCTTGGGAGCCTCTTCGCTCGTTTGCGGCCCCCCCAGCAGACTCTCTGGAGCGGATGACCCCCCCCGGACCGCGCCGGCGGATCCCGGGGAATCCGGCCGGACCCCCCCCCCCCCCCCTCCAAAACGACCGGACCAGGCTCCGGGGGGAGGGGTTTGGGGAGGGGGGAAGCATCTCACACGCCGATGACCCCAAGGGGTCGGCGGATTTACAGGCTCACGCTGCCGACGATGAGTAGGGTCCTCGCCGTCGTCGGGGAGCCTCGGCCAGCGTGTACGCATTGTTGAGGCTCTCGTGTCTGGGAATCTTCATCCACCAGACGTGCGTCCCTAGAAGTCGTTCTGTAGTCCCGGCTCGCTCGGCTGATCTTCACGGCGCACGCGTACGTCGCCGCCAGCGTGCGCAGAGGGAGACGAGTGCCCGCTTCGCCTGGTCGAGCGCAGACACCGACTTTGCGAGCACGGAAGGCGCAGAGGCGGCAGGGTGCACTTGAGCCAGAGCTCACGATAACGAACCGACAAGCATGACGGCCAACGTCGGGAACGATGATGAGAGTACCGACTGCGGGCCCGCATCGGCGTTCTGAAGGCTTCCCGACGACGCGATGCGGGATTTGGGAACATGCTGAACCTCTGTGGTATGGCGCTGGATTTTGAAAACCATTGCTTCTTTGCGTTAATATTTGACGGTGCCTCGTTCCAAGATATAGGGATTTATATCTGCTAGGATTCTAGGGGGGTGCGGGGGGGGGGGGTGCGCTGACTGCGTTGGGGGATCTCCCAGAAATTGACTTCCACTGCGCGCGCAGGCGCAGCGCCATGCTCGGGCCCCACGGTCCACGTCGATTTCTCTTCTGATTCGGACAATATGTGGGACGAGGGTGTGTCATCCCAGAGCTTTTGGGAACGCTCTAAGAGCGTCCTGAAACCCTCGGGAACGGCCGCGCCTCCCGACCTCAGCTCACTGCGCAGAGGGGCTCGTTTCTTTCTGCTGCCGTCTTAGTCTGAGGCCAGTGAACCTCCACTGGCCCACTTCGAGGGCCCAGACATGGCTACAGTGGGGGCCCATGCCAAGAAACACCCTGCTTGCCTCCAGGGTGCCCTGGGTCTCTTGGGTGTCGATAGCCTTGCGATGGAGAGCGCGGCGTCCCCACACTAAGCATGACTGGACGTCCTGGAGTCTCCGGCTCGGGCTTCTTGCGGAGGGTGTCCCGTGGACGGGCTTCACCGCATGCAGACCTTCGCTTGCTGGACGGGCCGAGAAGGGCCGCGTCCACACCAAGGTTTTGGGGGGCCTTCGCGGGCCCCTCCAGGGGGGGCTCGCGCGCCCGGCCACGGGGGCGTTCTGCACCCCCACACAGGGTAAACCACACATGTTTCCTGTGTTCGGGCGAGCGAGACGCTCAGTCTGCAGAATGTGCTGAGGGTGCCTCGCGCGGGCCGCCTCTCTTGCCTCTCATATTGCTTCAGCGAGCGCTTCAGAGCGGGACAGGTGTGACAACACGTGGGCTTCTCACACCCCCGAGCATGGCAAGCGTGAAAACACGTGGGTTCCTAACGCCCCAGAGCGGGACAAATGCGAAAGCATTGGTTTCTGACGCTCTAGGCCGGGACAAGCGGAAATACACGTGGGTCCTTAGCGCCCCAGAGCGGAACAAGCATGGCAACACGTGGGTTCCTAACGCCCCAGGGCGGGACGCGTGAGAGAACACACGGGATTCATAACGCCCCAGCGCGGGAACAATATAAAATCACTTGGGTTCCTGACGCCCCTGAGCGGGACAAGCGTGAAAACACATGGTTCCTAAGTAACGCACCAAAGCGGGAAAAGCAAGAAAACATGTGGGTTCCTAACGCCCCAGGGCATGTAGTTCGTGGTCGTGTTATCCGACCTGTCCTTATATCTTCTGCGCCACCCGTCATACCTTTTTTGCGGCTCGTCGTTTTCATCTCGGTCGTCCTTGACCGCACCACATCAATTACCAATCCGCCGACGCCTTCCTCGCTCCAGCACCACGACCGACCACGACATGTATCACTCCCTGGTTCCAACCAGGACCCATGCAGCCCCACACACTTTCGGAGCTCAGGTTTCCTCCGATGGACCATGCTCGCTATTTCCCCCTCAAGGCCGCCTCCGCGGGGGTGGGGCTTGCGCCTTCCGGGATCTCCTCGGTTTCGGATGGCGCTCGCTCCTGTCGGTGCCCTCTTTTGGGGCGTTGCAGTGCTCGGCACTGCGCGTGGCGCCGCTTTTGATTTTGGCCGCAGGCCCCCACCAGCAGGGGGAGGAAGCCCAAGTCTCCCCTCGGGCCTCCGACCCCGTGTCCCCCCCCCCCCCCGCGCTCCGAGCCGATCCTGCTGCTGTTGTTTTTTGCTCCGCCGCAGCGGCCCGCGAGGACCCCCGTGGCCCGACGCGGGGCGAGAGCGCGCCGGCAGTGGCTTCCTCACAACACCCCCCCGATCGGCTACCTCTTCCTCCTGCTCCTCCTCCTCCTCCTCCTCCTCCTTGGGTGGGGGGGAGGGGAAGTCGAGGGGGAGGGGCGGTGACCCTGACGCCTGGGCGTCGCGAGAAAAACATTGCGGGTGTCTTCCTTCGCCCCGTCTTGGCCCTCAGGATCCTCGCGCATCGGCCCGGCTCGGGGAGCCAGGCGCGAGGCGGGGGGCCGACAGGCCCTCATGGATCGGCTACACGCGGGAGTGACGGCTCGCCAGAGTGACCTCTGATGCGGGCACCCCGGGGGGTCCCCAGGTGGCTGAGTGCAGACGCAAGAGCAGCGGCTTGCGCGCTCGGGTCTGCTCTCCAGAGCCGCCGCGCACCAGAGGTGTCTCTTGCACGGGGGCACTCTTGCGCGTAGCCGGCTCGATCTGGCGGGAGGTGTCGAGTAGGTGATCGACTACAGAATTGCGTTTCCCCAGAATTGATGTGTTCGTCGAGTCCATGCGAAATGCGTAGAATGTCCGTAGATCTACGAACCTTCTGTGTATGTCTCGACGAGGAGATCATTTTTGGGTCGATCAAACCTGTAGACGATCCTCTACTCGACTCCTACTCGAAGGTGGGCAGCGTCCTCGTCTCCGTCAACCCCTACCGCGACATCGGCGTGTTCCGCGAGGAGGTGCTGCAGCGCTACGCGAGCAGCGACCCGCCGTCGGCGCCACACCTCTTCGCAACCGTGCAGGCCGCCCTCGCGGCTCCCGGAGACAGGCCCTCGCGGGCGGCGCCGCCACAGCGGGGGTGCGCGGGGGGTGCGCGGGCGGTGCGAGAACGGGCGTGCATTCAGTCGGGCAGGCCGCTTTACAGGAGGGATATTCAAGAATGATTTAAAGAATAGTGTGGTCTGGTGACGATTGTCCGTGCTCTGTCTGACTATTCTTCATTTTGATTTGACCGTTTTTTTGTTTTTCTTCCCAAATCCGCCTCTAGGAAAACATGCTCCACCGGTGGCGTGCATTGTCGAACACCCTCCGAGGGCTCGCTTCGGGTCCCGGGGCCCACAGGAAACAGCACACCGCGCGAAGCTTATGCGGCAGACAGTGTCGACGAGCTTCAGAGGCCCCACGCCGTCGAGTAACCTGGCTGTGGAAGAATGGTGGCAAGAGGCACGCTTGTTGCGGTGGTGGCGGGAGGGGGTGGGGAGGATACTTCTGGGCGCTTCTGCAGCTGTGACTAGAGGTGGCGGCAAATGGTAGTGAATGGGGGACTAGGGGGAGGAAGTTCTTCATTATCCTGTTCCTTTCCTCTTTCTGCTGTGCCTCCGCTTCATCATCATCATCGTTATCATCATCATCACCATCATCACCACCACCACCATCATTCTTATCACCACCACCAAGCCCACCACCACTACCACCACCACCAACATCTCCCACTGTCAGTTTGCAAGATTCAGCTTCCTGCGCACATCGGGGTCTGCACGCTTAACATACAGTGAGCGTTTCGAGCTGCGAGATGCCACAGTCTGAACCATGTTAGCAGCTATGTGTGGGAATCACCACTGCAATCTTCATCATCTTCTGTGTCTGTCTTCTATTCCTCCTCTCCTGGCTTCTCATCGGCATCCTCCTCCCTTTCACCTCCTTCTCCTCCTCCCTCCTCCCTTCGCATTATTCCACATCCTCATCATCGTCCTCCTTGGATGGGGGGCTGGTGGGCAGGGGTCGAGGGGGAGGAGGAGGGAGGAGGAGGGAGGAGGAGGGAGGAGGAGGGAGGGAGGGAGGAGGAGGGAGGAGGGAGGGAGACAGGGAGGGAGGGAGGGAGGGAGGGAGGGAGGGCGGAGGAGGAGGAGGAGGAGGAGGGTCACCCTGACGAGGGTGACAGGGAAGTCGAGCCTGGTGGCCGTGAGACAAACACGGCGAGTGTCTTTCCTCGGCTGGTCTCGGCCCTCGGGATCCTCGCGTCTCGACCCAGCTAGGGTCAAGTCGGGCCCGTCCCTCTACAGGGGGAATATTCAAAAATAGTTGAAAATAATATGGGGACGATGTTTTAAATTATGTTTGACAACTTAGGGGACTTTTTTTGACTATTTTTTATTTTTCGTGCAAAATCGGCCTGTAGGGGGACAGGCCCGACTTAAAGCTAGGGGAGCCATGCGCGAGGTTGGGGCCGAGAGATCCTGCCCATGGTTCGGCTACACGTAGGAGTGACGGTTCGCCAGTGTTCTCGGATGCGGACGCACCCCACGGTCCCCAGATGCGTGAGGGCGATGCGATAGCAGTGGCTTGCGCGCTCGGGTTTGGCCTCCCCCACGCGCTCTCCGAAAGCCGCGCCTCGGATCACTCTTACGTGCAGGCAGCTGAATGGTCTGGAACAAGTTTGTAATGTCTCCGCGACGTCGGACGTCGGTGGGGAAGTGGGCGGGGGAGAAGTGGAAGAGGACGGGAGGGAGAGCCAGATCACCTGACGTGATTCGTTCACGTCGTGCCCCTCCGGGACTAGGTTTTCACCCAGTATAGTTTTGTGGACGGACGCCCCGTGGGCCCTCCGAGGAACCCCGGGAAGTTGGAAATTAGTTACCAAACGTCTTCCGTCGCGTCTTTGCTCCACGGCGCGAGGGGGCCTGGGCGGGAGGCAGCGAGGGAGGGAGAGGGGTGGAACGGAGGGGGCAGTGGAGGACAGTGCAGGGGTGGTCCCGTCTGCGCCCCCCCGCCGAGAGGCACGCCCTACTCGTCACCGGCGAGAGCGGCGCGGGCAAGACTGAGGCGACGAGGGCCATCCTCTCCTTCCTGGCCTTGCGCCGCACCTGCGGCTCCTTCATCCGCGACCGCCTGCTAAGGACCCCCCCCCCGCCGCTTCGTGGTCCCGGGCTGTCAGCGGCGATGGGGTGGTGGAGGTAGGGGGGGGGCTCCTCGTTCTCCAATGTTTCCTCCTTCCTCCATTTCTTTTCCTCACTCCTCATCAATAACTCCTCCCTGTCGCATCCCCAGATGTGTCGGTATGGCGGGCAGGGCGTTTCGCCAGAGACATCCTCACCGCACTTATGATCTTGAAGCTTGAACTTTTGCACCATTCCGCGGAGGCAGGGCTGGTCGTTTTGAAACTGTGGTTCTCATCTTAGCGTCGCGAGCATTCGCCTTAAACGTGTGCAGCAGTTTCACGCATCGAGGGCGGGTTGTTTCCACAATGTGGTTCTCGCTTTAGCGGCGTTTTCCTCCTCTCTCTCTCTCTCCATATATATAAATATAGAGGTACATATATATATATGTATATATTTATATATACATATATACATATATACATATACATCTATATATATATATGTATATGTATATATATATATATATATATATATATATATATATTCCTATGTATATATTTTTACAGGGCCGGGGACCCCGGAAAAGCGGCACACGGTGCCCCCCCCCAAACGAATTTCGGCCTCCCCGAGCCTTTGGGGCGCTCCTGCAGAGTGCTCCGTGTCTGTCCTGCGAGTGCGACGCGAAAAAAAAAACCACGACGGCCAAAGAGGGCCCCGACACACCCAAAGATCGGCCCAAGACGCCCAATCTGGGCCCAAGATTGCCCAAGACGCGTCCAAGACGCCCCCAGAGACCCCCAAGAGGCCTCCCAAGAGAGCCCCGAGAGGCTACAATTGTTGATTTTCCTGTGTGTGTTTTCGATGTGTTTGGCCTTCTCGCTTTTCCCGCTTCCCGACGCTCCACAATGGCCCAAGAGGCTCCCTAGATCGCCCCAATACTGCCCAAGAGGCCCCCAAGAAGGCCCCAACACGGTCCAGGAGGGCTCCGAGACCGCCCAAGAGGCGCTCAAGACGGCCCAAGAGAGCACCAAGACGGCCCCAAGAGAGACCCAAGAGGGCACCCAAAAATTCAAAAACTAAATTTTCCGCCGCGAGAGGGCCCCAAGACGCCCGGAGAGAGCCCCATGAGGCCCCAAGAGGCTCCCAAGAGGCCCCAAGGAGCCCCCAAGAGGCCTCCAAGAGGCCCCCAAAAGATCCCAAGAACCCCAAAACACCCCCAAGAGGCTTCAAAACTGCCTCCCAGAGGGCCCCGAGAGGCGCACCACGAGATCCCAACACAGCGGTCTCCCCCTCTCATTATCCCTTCTCTTTGTCCTCGCCTTCTTCGTCGTCGTCGTTGTCGTATCAAATGGCGCAGCGAGACCATGTTTCGTTCAAACAACCGAAGGGCCCAAGAGCTCCTCCTCCTCTTCCTCATTCTCTTCCTCTCCTACCTCCTCCTCCTCCTTCTCCTAATTCCCCGTGATGTTTCACGTTCCGCCCCGCCAAAGGTCTAGCAGAAGCAGCTCTCCTCACTCTCCCAGGTCTCTGCTGCGGATTTCTCCCGCGAGGCCTCGGCTGCGCCCCAGATATCCACATCATATGTCCTCTGGTTCCTCTTCCTCCTCTTCAACCTCCCCCTTTTCCTCCTCCTCCTTCTCCTCGTCCTTTTCATGTTCCCCCTCCCGCCTCGACTGAGCTTCTCGCAACACTCAATGCAAACCGTCGGGGCCACGACGCCATCTCATCCGGACGCGCCGTTGGGTTCTCTCACCCTTCGCCGCTTGACTCGCAGAGAGGCCGAGCAGCACCGCGCCGCGCCGCCAGGGATGGGGAGCATGGACGAAAAAAGAAGCGGAGAGGGGGGAGAGGAAGAGGAGGAGGGACAGGAGGAGGAGGGGGAGGAGGAGGAGGAAAGGAAAGGAAAGGAAAAAGGGAAGGAGGAGGAGGACATGACGGAAAGTAGTCTAATCCGCTTCGCCAGAGATATGCTCGCAACTCCGACCTCAGAAGCGCCTTGCTTCGCATCGGCCCCGCCGTTTTCGCTTGAGAGATCATCGCAGCTCTGGGGCCCGAGACGCTCTCAGTCGAGGTGTTCCAGCCACTGTCGCCTGAGACACTCTCGCGAGTCCCACTTCGGAGGTGCCTTGCACCATGGTGGTTCGGGCACTTTCGCGTGCGACTTCTCGCAACTCTAAGTTCAAGGATGCCCTGGGCAGAGGTGTCCAAACCACTCCTCGCTTGAAACTTCCTCGCGCGGCTGACGTCGGATATGCCCTCCCCTGAGCGGAGGCGTTCAGGCCATTTTCACCCGGGGCGCCCTCGCTACGCTGACCTCGGCGACGCATTGCCCCATGGTAGTTTGACCACGTTTGCCCGAGACCCTCGCGCCTTTCAGTGGCGCGATGATATGAGCAACTGGTCAGGCCACCACCGCCTGATATACGCGTGTGCATGCGCGCGCATAGTTACACTGACCATTTGCATAGACATGTACATATCCATACAAACGTGTATATATATATATATATATATGTACATATGTACTATGCATTCATAGACGCATGTGTGTGCGCATGCACGCACGCTCGCACCCCGCTAGCGTGCGAATTCCAAAGGACCAAGGTGCATGGCGCGCAGCGCCAATGCAGTCTTGTGTGCATATATATATATATATATATATATATATATATATAGCGTTGCGCACATTCCGAAACATTCGCCGTAAACCGTTGCAGCAGGTTCAAGGATTGAGGACAGGTCGTTTTCACATTGTGGCTCTCGCCTTAGTGTCGCGCGCGCTCTTCTTACATATTGCCAGGGCGCCACAGCCACTTTAGTCCGCGGCGTCGAAATCCTACAATTTGTGATTTGGCATGATTGGAACGGTTGTCTTCGAATTTGCCATTTCCACAATGAAAATAGGGTCTCAGGGTTATCATGAAGAGGGAACTTGGATGCAGGGTTTATTGCAACATCGTTGATGCGTCTTGGGTTTACGCTGGCTTTTCTCTTCTTGCTCTTCTTCCTCCTCCACCCCTCCTCCTTCTGCTCTTCCTCCTCTCTTCTTGCACCGCTGAGCACTTTCGGTCGCCACCGGCGTCGCTGGGCACGCAACCCAGAGAGAGAGAGGGAAACAAGGCAGAACTCCCGCCGACCCGTTCACGTCGAGCCGCCATTCGGGTCTTGCAACACATCTCATGCACCACGACGTTTCTCTTTCTTCGAATAGCGACGTTCGCCAGCGTGAACCTCAAACAGTGTGTGTTCACGGAACTATCTATGTGGAGTACCCTGCGTGGTGCAATCCATGTGGTTCGATATATGTGGTACAGTGCCTGTGGTACAGGTTGTGTTGTGCCACCCATGTTGTGGAATCCACGATGTGCGTCATATGTTGTGGAATCGGTGTGGCTGGATCTATGTGGTTCAATCCGCCTTGCACGACTTGAAGTTGTCAGCTCGATTGTTAGCGCAATCGGCCCACCCACCTACCCGCAACTTGGTTTGAAGAACACTTGCGGCGGCGATTGCGATGACCGCTTGGCGTTGGCTGGCGCGTCGTTGCGGCCGCGCTAGCGCGTGCAGGCTCGCACGCAGAGCGTCCAGCTAGTCTGGCGCGGCCGACGCGGCCGCGGTGGCGCTGACCGCTGGGGACTTCCCAGCGTGACTTGCAGGCAGTGCTGACGCGCGGGCGTTTCGGCGCGAGTCGGGGATTCGGGCGGGTGCGGTATCATGGCGGCGGCGACCACGGCAGACGATGACGACGGCGAGGCCACATGAAAAAAATACCTCCAGCTAGTGATTAACTTGTTTTTTGATCAGCTTTGTTGCGATGATGCTGACGTGGAGCCCATTGCCCGCCTCATGCCCGTAGCCCTGCAGCCGTTAAAAAGGAACGCGCGGTTGAAAAGACAGATTGGACCCTGGAGGCACGCTGGGGTGCCTCGTCGCGCATGCTTGCGTAGGTGCCCCCTGTGGTCCTTCTTTTGGCGTTTCTCGTAAGCCGTGAGCCCATGTGCAACCGACCGCGGCGGAAAAGTTCACGAGCGGCGAACGTATCCATATCCGCGCCCTCGCGGTCAGGATGCCGTGGCGTCATCCCGCGGATACGCGGTCGCACGGACTCCTTCCGCGTCGGGTCTCCGCAACAAAAAAACATTCCCGCGGGGTCGCGGCCCCGGGGCCCCGCCCGCGAGGCCGCAAATCTGGATATGTTCTCAGGTGTCGGCCTACACGGTGTTTGGGCGATTTCGTTGGCCGTTGTCGTTTCGATTTCGTTTTGTAGCTACGTCGGATCGAAGACAAGACGAGGGAAAACGAAACCACAACGAAAGCGAACAACACCTTTTAGGTCGATCCTTGTACAGTCGAGACCCATGCCAAGAAACACCCTGGTTGCCTCAAGGGTGCCCTGGGTTTCTTGGATTTCGATGGTCTTGCTGTGGAAAGCGTGACGTTCCCACACTAAAAACCAGTGCGCGCCCTGGGGTCTCAGGGTTGGGTCCCTTGTGGAACGTTTCTCTTGTGGTCGGACCCCTACTCCTATGCCCCTGTCCCACGGAAGATGGCTGCTCCCCGCTTTTGTGGTTCATTCTGGCACGGGCCCCGTTCCGCTGCGGCCGCGCACTCGCCCAAATGCTCCCTTGCGAGGGCGACATGCACGTTCGCGAGGGCGGCCGGCCTTTTCGGCGGCCGAGGCACGGGCGGCGCACGGGCGACGAACGCGCGAAGCACCCTCTGTCGCGAAGGGGGGGGGGGGTCAGCACGCCGGTCGTGCTTACTGGGCCTCAACAGAGCGGGGCTGGAAAGCGGCCACGGGGGCTTCGAGGCGTCGGCTTGGCCGGGCGGGCGCGGCGGAGCCGCGGCGGAGCCGCGGCGGAGCCGTGGCGCGCCCCCCGCGCGTGTGCGCTGCCGTCGGGCGGCCGTCGGGCCCTCGGGAGGGGCAGGCTGCCGCCCAGCAGCAGCCGGGCGGGCCCTCCCGGACACAGCGGCCATCCAAAAAAACCTGGTATCATTCGGAGGTAGATCGACCTCCCACCGAGACACGTCGATTAGTGGATTGGCCGTTTTCGGTTCGCGAGAGGGCGCCACGGCCGCTCTTTTTGCGGGTCCAGGTCCGTCGGTGTCGGTCCCAGGCCGTCTCCATTAAAGAGTGGTTTGCTAAAGGGAGGCTTGTCCACCCCCGAATCATCGCTTGTCTTTGCGGTCGTTTTTTGTTGTTGTTTTGCCGATCGGCGCGGGCCCCCCGAACCCGTCACACTCCACCCACCCATGGAGTAGATCTTGGCTGTTTTTTTTTTGCGGCGCTTGCTTCGAGCGGGCGGAGGTCTCCCCTGGAGGCCGCACTCTTGCAAACAGTCGCACCAAGCAGAGGTCTGGAGACCCCCCCCCTTCCTCCCAATGTCGAAACGCCGAATCAAAATAAAAAAGACGCTCACTTTGCCCTTTTCGCCCGTCCCCCTTTCAAGGAGGGCCTGCTTTGCGGACGGCGTTGCCCCTCGGCCCGCCAGGGAAGCAGGACTGCGAACGGCTCCTGGAGGGAACACGGGCAGTCCCAACCTGTCGTTCTCGAGCAGCGAACGCCCTGGTGATGCAGGCGACCGGAGCCCCAGGAGAGATCGGTGGCAACTGCGGCGGGAACGGTGGAAATCGTCAGCTTGGCGAGGGGCGGAGCGCGGTGGTGGTGGATACTTGGGCCCTGTTGAAAAGTATGTTGGAAGATGTTTGGCACATCGTTTGGGGTGAAACAAACTGGCCCTGGCAACTTCAATATTTTCCATCTCACCATTTTGATCTCAGTTCGATCCGATCGCTTTGGCGAGGGACGAGTGTGTGCACGGTAACTCGCCCTGGGTGTTGATCAAAGGAATCAAAAATCCGCAACAGAGCAACACGCACCACGACCACACCGATGGCGCCGACGGTGGCGAGGCGCGCTGACGATCCGCACCGAAGAGCGGACTTGGGAAACGCCCCACCCTGCAAGTTCGGTTGAACAGCACATCGGTGAGCCGTGCTGCAGATTCCACTGAGCACAGGGCCCCCCCGGAGCAGCAGCCAGACAGGGCGGGCGGAGCGGAAAGTGAGGATGACGATGTGCAGAAGTCGGCGGCGCGCAAATAGGAGCAGGACGAGGGCAGTCTTTGAGAAAACCAGAGGCTTCTGGGAAGCCCTGCGGCCTTCCAAGAAGCCGTCTTGGTGGCCTCTGGCCCCATCGGAGAAGCCCCCAGCCTTCCGAAAAGGGTGCCCACCCCTCGCTCGTTTCTTCTTGGCGCGCCGCTGGGCAGCGGTGGGGGAGACGGACGATGGAGGGCAGGAAGGGAGGCAGGGGGGCAGAGAGGGACGGAACGACGGAGGGAGGGAGGAAGGGAGGGAGGCAGGGAGGAAGGGAGGGAGGAAGGGAGGGAGGGCAGGGGGGGCAGGGAAGGGACTCGCTTCAAGACTCGCAGTTGCGACTCCGGCCCTGAGGCCGCGGTAACACCCCGGCGTGGTCATGCAACCGCCCCGCTTGGCCTGCGGGTGCCGCGCCGGGGGTTCCGGACGTCACCGCGGCGCGGTCCGTGTTCCCCTGCGAGGACGAGGTGGGGACAGGCGGGGGGGGTGGAAGGGCTACGAGGGCAGACTTAGAGGGGTGGGAAGAGCCAGGAACTAGAGGAGTGCGGGAGGGGACGGGAGGGGGAGGAGCAGGGCAGGGCGGGGGCGAGAGGGCGAAGGTGGACTCGCCCCCGCCGGACCGCGCGGCTCTTCCAACGCGGGCTGATCGCTCGGCGCGAGGGGCAGGGAGGGAGGGCAGGGAGGGAGGGCAGGGAGGGCAGGGAGGGCAGGGAGGCGAGGAGGAGGAGGAGGAGGAGGAGGAGGAGGAGGAAGAGGAGGAGGAAGACGAGGGAGGAGAGTGGGTGTGAGAGTCCAATCATTGAGAGCTTCCTCAGCGACGCGGTGGAAAAGAGGAGGGTGGCGACCGACGGAAGCCTGAACATGCCGCTTGTCTCTGGAGGAGGGAGGAGGTGGGAGGGAGGGGATGAGGAGCGAGGAGGCAGGCGGAGAGAGCGAGGGAGGGAGGGAGGGAGGGGGGGCGGCTCGACTCGGCTGCTTGCGGGGCGGGGCACACGTCGGGTTGCCAGGGCTGACTGGGAGGGCGACCGAGCCCAGCCGCCAGCTGCGGGGGCCCCCATGCGCGCCTCGCGCGCGGCACGGCGCGGAGGAGCACGCCCGTGCTCGAGGCGTTTGGTAACGCCCACACGCGGCAGAACACCAACTCCTCGCGGTTCGGCAAGTTCATCGAGGCCGCATCTTCCCCTCAGGGCCCGCTTCGGCCCTCCCGATTGGATCCGACTCCGTCCCAATGGCTTCCGATTCCGATTCCGATTCGATTTGATCTCGGATTCCGACTTGGCTTCCGAGGCCTTACTTGCCTGCCGATTTCTGCCGATCCGATTTCTCCCGACCTGGCTGCCGATTCCCGCCGACCCGATTCGTGTCGATCGTCGATCCGACTCATCGATTCGACTCTGGACCTTCCTGCCTCCTCCCCTCCTCCCCTCCGTGCCCATCTAGTCGTCGTGTGCCTCGCCCTCCTCCCCCTCCGCGCAGCGTGCAGCTTTCTCGCTCTCCGCCCCAGCGCGAGGAGCGCGCTCCGGCCCTCGCGCTCCTCCAGAAGGGGGCCGCCCCCCGCAGCGGGCCGCAACGCGGGCCGCGCCGGGGCCGCACCTGCCCGCCCCCGGACGTCCCGGCGTCGCGGAGGAGGCGCCACGGCGGGAGTGCCCCTTGGCGCGCGTCGGGCCCCCAAGAGCCTCGCGTGGTCCGTCTGACTCGAGGCTCGAGGAGAGCGTTTTTTTGTTCTTCTTCCTTTGGCGGATAACGCTTGTTACCCGGCCCTCCCTCCCCTGGTAAAGCTAACGATCGTACGCTTTTGGGGCGTGGAGGGCGGACCCCCCCTCCTCTCAGCAGGTATGGCGCTGTGCTCACAGGCATGGCGTGGTGCTGAAAGACATGTGTGGTGCTCACTTGGCCCCTTAGGGTCTAGGTGTGCTGGCGTGGCCGAGGGTCGCAGTCGTGATGTTTGCGCTGCGTCTGTGCATCGGACGTCCGGGACATCTGCCCTCTCCGTGTCCATCGCCTCTGGTCCGTAATTCTTATTGTTGCGTCCTCTTCATCTTCGTGGATGTCGCCATTAGCATTATCATCACCACCACCACCACCACCACCACTATCGTCATCAGCATCATCATCATCACCACCATCACCATCACCATTACCATCACCATCACCACCATCATCATTATCAGTATCATCATCATCACCATCATTATCACCCTCACCACCATTATCATCACCATCATCATCACCATCACCATCACCATCACCATCACCATCACCATCACCATCACCATCACCATCACCTTCACCTTTCCCATCACCATCACCATCATCATCACATACCTCTCTGTCTCTGTCTCTGTCTCTGTCTTTCTCTCTCTCCCTCTCGCTCTGTATATATATATATATATACACACGCATCTACACATATATACGCCACCCCCCCAGGGCGCCGCCCACCTCGATGACATCTGGGGCAAATCGCCGGTACCGCATTCCCTGGCCTCCTAGGGAGCCCCAGGAGGGCCTCGAGACGGCCCAGAGCGGCTCAGAGACACCCCAGAAGAGCTTTCAGACGGTCAAGGATTTTTTCCCGACGGCCACAAGACCCCCAGGAGCGAAAAAGGGAGTGTCAAGAGACCTCCATGAGGCCCCTAACACCGCCCGTGAGACCTCCGAGGAAGCCCTCGAGAGGCCAACATCATTGAAACACCTAGGGACAAACTTATGATGTTTGCGTTCTGGCATTTTCGCCTCCGGTGCGCCGTCGAGGCTTGCGCATCATCCCCACGGGAGGTCCAAGATGCGTCCAAGAAGCGCCCCAAGGGACCCCAAGAGGCCACCAAGACGCTCAAAGAGGCCACCAAGACGCTCAAAGACGCTCGAAGAGGCCACCAAGACGCTCAAAGAGGCCACCAAGGGTTCCCAAGAGGCCACCAAGACGTTCAAAGAGGCTTCGTGCCCATTCTGGCTCGAGCCGAAAAGCCAGTGGCGCCCGCTTCGCCACAGGAGCAGACGGGTCCCTGGGCGCGGAGACTTCAAGCGTGACTCCGACGAGCGCCTCGAGATTCGCAGGCAATTGACGGGCCACGAGGTGATGCCCAGCCATCGGGACGTCGCGCGCCTCGGGGAGACAGCAACGGGCGTGGGTGGACGAGCTCGTCATCCCGAGGCTGAACGCGAGCGGGCGCAAGCAGCGCCTCTCCGACCAGAGGAGGCAGACGCTCAGAGGAGGCAGACGCTCAACAAGGAGGAGGTGATGCCCAGCTATCGTTAAGTCGGGCCTGTCCCTCTACAGGAGGAGTATTCCCAAATGGTTTAAACATAGTCCGGGGACTCTTTGCTTTCGCATTCTTTGACCATGTTTGAACATTTTTTGGCTGTTTAAATTTTTCCTTCGAAGATCGGCCTGTAGGGGGACAGGCCCGACCTAAAGCTATCGGGACGTCACGCGCCTCAGGGAGACGGCAGCGGGCAGGGAGGGCCAGGATCGCAGAGACAGCGAGCTGCTGTCGTGGGAGTGGGCTCGTGGGCCGGGCGCCGAGCCCCGTCGCGGAGCACGAGGTTCCCCAGCCCCCCTGGCACCTCCGAGGCTGGGGGCGCCGCGGGGGACATGCTCCTCGCCCTGCTTCTTCCCTTCCTCCTCCTCCTCCTCCTCCTCCTCCTCCTCCTCCTCCTCCTCCTCCTTCTCCTTCCCCTCCCACTCCTCCTCCTCCTTCTTCTCCTCCTCCTTCTCCTCCTCCTCTTCCTCCTCCTCCTCCTCCTCCTCCTCCTCCTCCTTCCCCTCCCACTCCTCCTCCTCCTCCTTCTCCTCCTCCTTCTCCTCCTCCTCTTGCTCCTCCTCCTCCTCCTCCTCCTGCCCGCGGGCTGGGCTGCCACGGGCGGGTGCGTCCTGGGCCTGGACGTGGAAGAGGTGATGCGGGCAGGAGGCTTCGAGGCCATTCGCTGGAACCGCGAGACAAGGTGCGAGTCTCAATCGGTCTTCGGGGGCGTTTCCCTATCGGGGTCCGCGTCGGACCACCTGGGATCTGGGCCGTGCATCAGGCTGCGAGGTATTGCTTAGGGCTCCAAGGGTCCGTCATTGACAGCAGGTTGTTGAGGGTCTCTCGGCTGGTAGGTATCTCTGTCTAGCGAGCAAGCCGATCGCCTCGCATCTCTGGCGTTGTGCCTGGGACGCCCTTGAGGATCAGGGGCTTGTGCCTGGGCGGTCTCTTCAGATAAGCCATTTAGAATCGCATATGACCGCAGCGCGGTGCTATCCCCTTTGAAGGCGAAGGCGGGATCACTATCTGATAAATATGCGTGCTGGCGCTAGGGCGCAAGAGGGAGCCGAACCCTTTGCAGCGCCAAGATGGAAGGTCGATCAGGTGCAGTCGGCCTTCCAGACTCAGCGTCGGATCGTTCATGTTGTAGCCTCCTTCCGAGTAGGGTTGAGTGCAGCCAAGGTGGCCACCACGACCCCCCCCGTCGCCGAATCGGATTCGGAAGAGGGGTCGTGCGGCCCGCCCAACAGTTGTCGCCGAGAGGAACCACCAACTCAGGCTCTTTGGTGGTGAATGTTTGAAGTCTCAGTGTTGCTCTCGCCTCGCCCACGGGGCTTCTCGCCTCAGCCTGGCCAGGAGAGTGCTGTGTCCAGGCTTGGGGGAAGCCATCTCTAGAGACAGGGTTCGTTTGAACTCCAAGACCTTGATCCAAGGCGAGTGCGTGTTCGGATCAAATTCGGGCCGCGGCAGCCGAAAGCGCTAATGCGGCCAGCGGATCCTCAGTGTCACCCCCACCCCCACCTCGAGAGCACGACGTGGTTGAGACGGTGGGAAATGGTGTGTGTGTGTGTGCGTGTGTGTCGTATTTGCTGGGTTTTGCAAAGTCTCGGGTCCAGAAGCTGCTCAGAGAATGCGAAGGTCCTGTGTTGATAGGAGTCGTGGCCCGTAAAAGTCGACGGCTCCATAACAAATGATCCTTTGAATATGCAATCCCTACACGGGCAAGCCTGGTCGGGAGGAGGGTTAACGAACTGTTCATTTTTCGGCTAAGGTGATGAGTGCTTGTGTGGCCGCCCCCAGGAGTGCCCATGTCAAAAGAATGAAGAGGATGAGGAGGAAGAGGATGAGGAGGAGGAGGAGGAGGAGGAGGAGGAGGAGGAGGGAGGAGGAGGAGGAGGAGGAGGTCGAGGTGGAGGAGGAAGGGAAGGACGAGGAGGGGAAGCAGGGGGAGCAAGAGGACGAGGTCGAAACCGAGGTGGTCCCGCCGTCCACCCACCGTTTCCGCCCCCATCCCGGCGGCCGGCCCCGCGCGACGGCGAGGTGCACCTGAACGCCGCGGGCGAGGCGGGGTCCTCGGTTGGGGGCCGGCCTCGAGCCCTGAGGGGGGGAGGGCCGGGCTGTAAGAAACGAGGTCGATGCAAAGGTCGACGAGACGTACGAGTGACCTTGCGCCGAAGTGACCTTTGGTGCGGGCCCAATGGGACCCCCCGATCGCTGAGCGGGAAACGGTCGCAGCGGCTTGAGCGCCCAGGTTGGGCCACCCCGCGCCCCGCGCGACGCCGCTCACCAGAGGCCACCCTTGCCCGAGGTCACTCCTGCGTGTAGCCGAACAGAGGGGGTTCGCCAGATCGGCGGCTCCTGCAGGATCCTGCAGAGCCAGGGTTGCACTGACCCCAGACCCCCGACGTCATGATTTTTTCATTACACGTCGACCCCCAAAGGTCTCGACCCATACCCCGGGATCGGTTTTTCATCCTGAGTCGTTTTTTGACGGTCCCGAGGGCCGGTATGGCCGCCCAGGGGCTGAAAATCGCAAAAAATCTCCCGTCTGGATTGCGCGCAGGATCTAGCAGGACGCTGCAAAGCCTGACCGGCCCGGCTCGGCAGTGGCCCACTGCGTTCCCCGGGAGGGGTGGGGAGATGTGCGCCGGGAGCTGCCTAGTCCGCCCAGGTGGGGCCGTCGCCGGCGACCTCCGAGCTCTGCCATCGCCGAGAGTGTGAGTATCGTTTCTCCGATCCCCATCCCCATCCCCATCCTCTTCGAGACCTCCACCAAATTTGCCCCCCAGTTGGGGGGGATACGCCCCTCGAAGCCCGAAGGGAACGGCCCATATCCCCATCTAGGGGGCAAATCGGCCAGTGGGGCCCAGGCCACGCCGCTGGAGAAGGGGACCAGATAAACGATATTCACAGTGATTCTCAGGCAACTCAGTGGGCGGCTGGGTTAGGGTTAAGTCGGGCGTGCCCTCTCTACAGGAGGAGTCTTCAGAAATAGTTTAAAACAACTTGTCTGGGGACGATG